CCTCCACCTTTTCAAACAGTCCCTCCTCCACCTTTTCAAACAGTCCCCTCCTCCACCTTTTCAAACAGTCCCCTCCTCCACCTTTTCAAACAGTCCCCCCCTCCACCTTTTCAAACAGTCCCCTCCTCCACCTTTTCAAACAGTCGCTCCTCCACCTTTTCAAACAGTCCCCCTGTGGTCTAAATGAAACATCTGTGCTGTGCTTTGGTCAAAATATAACATGAATCAAGCACCAGAGGAGGTTTGTGACCCTGTAGAAACCAGCTCTCTCAGAACGCTCCGTTTTGGTGTGTGTGTCTCTTTAAATGGAATGAGCAACGCGGTCGGCACAAACTCGTCCGCGTTGTTACCAAATCTTGGAGGTGCGCAGCTGGGCGCTCAGATTTTGTGGGTCAGTAGACACTCAGGTCACCAGATATATGTTCAGAAACACTGTACAAGTGGATTCTTCATCATATGTCTCCTTTAAATGATGGTCTGACATGTTGATGTTTGTCGTTCTTTTCCTGCAGTTGGTCATGAAACTGAAAAGTGGTCGGTCTTTAGACGATATCTGGAGTTCTACGTGCTGGAATCTAAACTCACTGAGTTCCACGGTAAATAATGTCTGATTGGGTAAACGTTCTCTGTGTGTTGTTTCCTCTCATAGAGCTACATGGACCTGACTCTTTACTGAATGTTTTCTGTGCAGGCACGTTTGCAGACACACAGCTTCCTTCCAAAAGACTTATTGGACCTAAGAACTACGAGTTCCTCGTTTCAAAACGGGAAGAGTTCGAGGAGTATTTACAGGTATTTATAACCGTGTTGTAATACTTGACCAAGCCCGGTCTGGAGACCACCTTTAGAAGGTCTCGATCTTGAATCAGAATCAAAAGCTTATGTCTCGGTCTGAGACTGAGCGGACTCCAGTCATTACTGTGATTAGAAAGAAACGCCCCTTTAAAAAAAAAAAAAGAATAACATAATAATGTAGTTTGATTTGTATCCCCCGGTTACGGCCGAGGCCTTCCCGTTGTTACGGTCTAAGTGAGGGACACGGCCCCGAAACACAACATGAGGATTTTTCAGAGATATTTATGGTCTCGGTCTCGCCATGCCTTGGTCTTGACTCAGTCTTGATCCCCAAATGTCTTGATCTTGGTCTTGACTCGGTCTTGGTCTCCCCTGGTCTTGGTCTTGGTCTTGGTCTTGACTCGGTCTTGGGCTCCCCTGGTCTTGGTCTTGGTCTTGACTCGGTCTTGGGCTCCCCTGGTCTTGGTCTTGGTCTTGACTCGGTCTTGGGCTCCCCTGGTCTTGGTCTTGGTCATGACTCTGTCTCGATCCCTAAATGTCTCGGCCTCGGAGCACTCTGGTCTCGGGTATGTCTAGGTCTCGGTTAGTCTGGTCTACAACATTTATAAAAGAAAATCTGGAGAAGCTTAATATGATTTAATTTTTACTCTGTAATGAAGAACTAAACATGTACATTCAGTGTTTGGCCACTAGAGGGCAGCATAACAGAACAGAATGATGTTCAGTTTAAAGGAAGGAGATTTAATTATTACTGGAAGATAGAAAACTTTACTTCACAAATATGAAAGAGCTGCAGCCTTTAGAGGAGAGCACTGATGAAATGTCTTTACTGTACAATTACATTCTGTGTGTGTGTGTGTGTGTGTGTGTGTGTGTTGTGTATAGAGACTCCTGCAGCACCCAGAGCTCAGTAACAGTCAGCTGCTGGCCGACTTCCTGTCTCCACACAGCGTGGAGTCTCAGTTCTTGGACAGGATGCTGCCGGATGTTAACCTCGGTTTGTACACTTCATTAAAAAAAACTCTGACTCTCACATGGTCGACCTACCAGAGAGAATCACTCCTATGATTCCCCGCCAGCCTCCATGTCGTCTTTAGTTCTGATTGATTGACAGCTCCCTGCAGGTCTTCTGACTCCCCGCCCCCTCTGCTCCCTGTTTTAACCTCACATGTTTTCTTGAACTTCTTTAACGAGTCTTTATCTCACAGGGAAGATTTTCAAGTCGGTCCCAGGAAAGCTGATGAAAGAGGTGAGTCACCCCGACACTTCAGGAACATTTACCTCCCTTTCTTTTTTAAAACCAACTTCAACATCAACTCTGTTTGTCTCTCAGAAAGGACAGAACCTGGAGCCCTTCATCCAGTCCTTCTTCAACTCCTGCGAGTCGCCCAAACCCAAACCCAGCCGGCCCGAGCTGACCATCCTCAGCCCGACCACAGAGAACAACAAGAAGGTGAAAACTTCACAGCACGTTTCTCCTCGTCCAATCAGAGCAGCAGATTACTTTTTATCAGGATAGAGAGGAAATGAACTTCCTTCCTGTTTGAGTCGTTCTTCATGTCAGCGGGTGTTTAGAGCTCTTTAAAGGAGTAAACTAACCTGGTAATGAAACAGACTGACCAGTAGGTGGCGGTGTGGCGTTGTGATGAAACAACACGCTCACATCGTCTTCCTTCCACAGAGCGATGAGGTGTAAACTTTAGTGTGGACGGGTGATGAGGTGGGGTCGTTACAGTTCAGAGAACATGTGGACCGGGAGGCGGCCATTGTTGTTGTAGTCCACCTACTCGCACACGGCTACTGTTGAATCTGTTTTCATAACTTTCAGTTTAAAGGCATCCCAAAACGGCGTTGTTGTCGTGTAAACAAAACAGCCAAACGCCACAAAAAGTCAGTTTTCAGGTGAAATCAGTGAAAAACAATATACAAAGTGAAGGCCTAAAAAAACGACAAATCTTTTTGATCTCATGGATTCTGCTGTCGAGCCTCAGCGGTCCTTTAATGTAAGGTTACATCTGGAGTCGAGTCACTTCCTGGACGTCGTCCTCCACTCAAAGCTGCCGTCGTAAACTCCCCCAAAGTTTGTATCGGCTCCCGTTAGTCCAGATGATCCAGTGAGGAGGAACCAGCAGCACTAACAAGGTCACTTAAGGTCAAACTATGAGGTCAGGTCAATCCTCATGTGTCTGCCTTCAAAATAAAAGCACCACACTTCAGTTTTTCCACCTTCAAAATAAAACGTCAAGAAAATACTGCAGTAACTAAAGACACCCCCCCCCCCCCCACTCTGGACTTTGGTCTAACTGGTGGTACGGCTTGAAGACCTTAGGGTCCGGGTCGGATTGTTGTTACATACGATCATTTATTCCCTCATTAGTTCCTATTATCTGCCATGAACTGATGATAGGAGAACATGTGGAGATGAACGTTTTAACCTCTCGTGATGTTCCATATATTAACGATGCTGAACGTCCTGAACTTTGACCCGCAGCTCTTCACCGACCTGTTCAAGAACAACGCCAACCTGACGGAGATTTCAGACCGGAGACACAACCTCAACTGCTTCATGGAGAAGGTCTCCGTTAACGGCATGTACGACTGCATGATGTATGTCGGTAAGTGATTCCTAAGGAACTCTAAAAGACAAGAGTCAGCAGCTTTTTCCTTCAAAATAAAATACAGACTTATGTAGGGTCCTTCAAAATATAATACAGACTTATGTAGGGACCTTCAAAATAAAATACAGACTTATGTAGGGACCTTCAAAATAAAATACAGACTTATGTAGGGACCTTCAAAATAAAATACAGACTTATGTAGGGACCTTCAAAATAAAATACAGACTTATGTAGAAGACGTCGCAGCAAAGAGAAAATATAGTTTGTCACCTTCCTGTTGGACAGGAAGGTGACAAACACCGGCGGTTAGCTTGTGTTAGCGTGCGTTAGCTTGCAGTGTAGCTACAAGTAAACATGCACACTACACCCTGCAGGGGGCGGGGCTTCAGGAGGAGGAGGGGCCGACAGATAGGTTCTTCTTTTTTAAAGATTTATTTTTGTGCCTTTAACGAAGAGATAAGGAAAAAATCAGAGAGAGAGGAATGACATGAGGGAAAGGAGCCACACGGTGGATTCAAACCTGGGCCGCCCGCTTTGAGGACTACAGCCTCCACACATGACACTAACCACTGAGCCACCAGCGCCCCTTGTTATAAACTAACAGTTTAAACATTAGACAAACATGTGAGTGATTTTTTGTTTCTGTGAGTCAGTTTCACTTCATCATCAGGGGACGATTCTTCTTAACTTCAACACCTCAATGATGCTGTTCCTGAGAAAGAGAAGAGGAAGTGAAACTTACGTTTATTAAAGAGCTACAATGGTCACTGAGGTCGGCTCCTTTGGTCATCAACCCTCAAAAACCTTGAGTTTTAATCTCCTAAAAAACATCCAGTATCTTTAAATGCTGCGCTCACAAAGAAGCTGATGAGAAGATTCTTAAAGAGTGTGTTGAGTCCTCCTCAGTCTGTGTTTTTGATTGACAGGTCGGGTGGTGTTTCACACGTCGGACTGGCTGCACCACGTCCTGGCTGCGGGGAGGATCCTGTTCAAGAACACGTTTGAAGCCTACATGGATCAGTACATGCAGTCCAAGCTGGAGCACGTCCTGCAGGAGCACCACATGGTGTCCCTCATCACACAGCTGAGAGGTGCGTGCGTGCGTGCGTGCGTGCGTGCGTGCGTGCGTGCGTGCGTGGGTGTGTCAGCTTTATAATCGTCAGGTCCAGAAAGATAAGACTGTTTCATGTTTTTCTGTTGTGATTTCTTTCTGCAGACGCCGTCTTCTGTGAGAGCAGCGTCGAGCGAACCACAGAGGACAAAAAGATCCGAGCCAAGCAGACGTTTGAGGAGATGATGAAATATTTACCAGGTCAGAAACATCACCATGTCCAAACTCTAACCCTGAAACTGACAACCCCTGAGACAGCTACCCTGATTGTGTGTGTGTGTGTGTGTGTGTGTGTGTGTGTGTGTGTGTGTGTGTGTGTGTGTGTGTGTGTGTGTGTGTGTGTGTGTGTGTGTGTGTGTGTGTTCAGACTTTGTGGTGAAGTGCATCGGCGAGGAGGTGAAATATGAAGGCATCCGCCTGCTCTTTGACGGCATCCAGCAGCCGCTCCTCAACAAGCAGGTACACACAAACACTTTGTCCACCTTCAAAATAAAAGCACCACACTTCAGTTTGTCCACCTTCAAAATAAAAGCACCACACTTCAGTTTGTCCACCTTCAAAATAAAAGCACCACACTTCAGTTTGTCCACCTTCAAAATAAGAGCACCAGATGAATCAAATGTTTGCAAGAGAAAACTGAATTTTATATTAAACTGTCAGATGTTGTGTGGACAGAGATTGTGTGTGATGCAACATGGGTGCTGTTAGGACACGCCTTCATTTAGGGGCTTTTTTCAAACCTCCATCTTCCCCGCCACGCCCTCGTCTCCTCAGCTGGAGGAATTAAAATGTAGGTGTAGTAAAAAGACGACAGGAGACGAGACAAGGAATAAAAACAAGAAGTTCCTCCCGGAAGCTGTGAAGTACAAAAAGTCAAACGTCCTCTCTCTCCTCAGAATGACGGTTTGACCGATGACTTTATTTAGCTCCACAGTCTCAACCTCCTTTTGTTTTCTCCTCAGATGACGTACGTCCTGCTGGATATCGCAGTGCAGGAGCTTTTCCCCGAACTCACCAAGGTAAACAAGTGACAGTCGAGAATTTAACCAAACAAACAAACGAGGCAGCGGCTCGAGATATGTGACAGCAGAGATTTATGACCTCATGAGTAACCGTCAGCAGCTGGAAAGGAGAGACCTCCATCTCCTCTGTCAGAATGTGAAACAGGCGACAAACTCACTGACGTCCAGGAAAAACAGATGAAAGAATGAAAGAATATGGACGCCATGTGGAGTAGCTCTGTTAATCTCAAACCCTCAAAGTATCTCAGAGTTTGAAACGTTCTGAAGACGACCAGCAGCAGCAGAGAGCTCAGAGACGTGAAGTGATGTTTACATGAAACCTTTGTGCACATATATTCAGCTCACGATCTGCACAGATGTCATGTCGTGATTATTAAACCAGGACGGATCGTGTGACCTCCCATGATGCAACAGGTCTCTGAATCTGAACAATAACAAACATGTTTTATTCCTTTGAGAGAAACTGACGAGGTGAGGGAGAGATCAGCAGATGATTTCTTATTGAGATTAAAAGAGGTCGACTCCTGGCTGGTGTTAGCCTAGCTTAGCATAAAGCCTGGCTTTACTTCTTCTCACTTCCACACACTGCTTGCACACCAAAGTGTCAGTGCTCATATTTCAACATCAAGTGCTGCAGTCTGTCTCCTGAAGGAGTCAGCAGCTTCACTACATCTGTTTCAAACTAGAGAGAGCAGATCACTCCAGACAGGAAGTCAGACAAGGAAACGCACAGAGCGTCCGGTCAATTTCAGAATAAAACACAACATACAGACTCCTGATCGTATTCTCCATCACTTTATCAACATGACAAAACAGAATGAACAACAAATCATCCTCAGAGAGACAAAGAAACATGTTGTTTACACATTCTCTTTATTCACGCGTGATCTTTATGTTCTCTTGTGATCTTGTAGTTCTCTTGTAGTTCTCTTGTGATCTTGTAGTTCTCTTGTAGTTCTCTTGTGATCTTGTAGTTCTCCTGTGATCTTGTAGTTCTCCTGTGATCTTGTAGTTCTCCTTTGATCTTGTAGTTCTCTTGTGATCTTGTGGTTCTCCTGTGATCTTGTAGTTCTCTTGTGATCTTGTGGTTCTCTTGTGATCTTGTAGTTCTCTTGTGATCTTGTAGTTCTCCTCTGATCTTGTAGTTCTCCTGTGATCTTGTAGTTCTCTTGTGATCTTGTAGTTCTCCTGTGATCTTGTAGTTCTCCTCTGATCTTGTAGTTCTCCTGTGATCTTGTAGTTCTCTTGTGATCTTGTAGTTCTCCTGTGATCTTGTAGTTCTCTTGTGATCTTGTAGTTCTCCTGTGATCTTGTAGTTCTCCTCTGATCTTGTAGTTCTCCTGTGATCTTGTAGTTCTCCTGTGATCTTGTAGTTCTCTTGTGATCTTGTAGTTCTCTTGTGATCTTGTAGTTCTCCTGTGATCTTGTAGTTCTCTTGTGATCTTGTAGTGTAGTAATGTGTGTGAGGTTTAGTGTTGGAGAAAAAGGATCCTCTGATGAACCTGTGCAGGTGTGATACTGAACCCTGACGCTGCGGTCAAAGAGAGCATCAGTTCTGCAGAGTGAGGAACAAAAATTCTAATTCTTCTTTCGGTTTAGTCGACCAAAACTTTCACATCTTGTCACCTTTCTACCGACGCCCTGAGGAAGTGGCTCGCTAACTTCTTTTGACACATTCAGGCTTTTTCAGGTGAATTATTGTGACAGAGGCCAGGATGAGATCTGTGCACTAAGTGAGGGTTTTAATTTCTCAGGGGAACCAATTTGAATTCCATGCGACCCCCCACATGCGGTCTGGACCCCAAGGTTGGGAAAGCCCGCACTAAGGGGACATGGGAGGAAAGAAAATCAAAGATAAGTTTCTGTTGAGCACCACGAGAAAGTTTAACAACAGGATCTTGTTCACAGGATCTGGTTTCTGGTGAACACAGGAAACATATTGATTTTTTAGTATTTTGTCATCCGTGCCTTTCCGCCTACAATCAGCTGTGGTTTCACAATTTTTATTTTTGGTTTGTGTCATGACTTTCACAATCTCTCTGAAATGTAAAGAACTGAACAAGAAGTGTGAAGTGTGAGTTTGAGATGTGCAGCGGCTGTCTGACGTGTGTTTCCTCCTCAGGGCGTGAAGGAAGCCATCGTGGTGTGAATCGCTCGACAAACTCAACACTGATCTCCTCTTTTCCTGGATCGCAGACGTGCAATAATAACCTCAAATGTTTCCAAACCCCCTCTGGGATCTTCTCCACATTCCTATGTACATTCATGCACTAATAATAAAAAGATATATTTATTAAGGTCACTACGAAGAACGCTGCCTGTTGTCTTTTCTCTCTCTACCAACGACTTTTACACTTATTCAGGAAATCAAAACTGATGACAGAATGTTTGTAAACCTCAAATCTATAAAACTGTATCGCTAAGCAAGTGTTGAGATGGCTCGGGTTAAAGAGGGCCGTGGAGGAAAGGGGGTCTGATTAGTCCTGACTGGGTCACCTAGGCGAGGACGTACGATGTTTTCGAGATGACCCTCGGTTATATCGCTAACGTTGAGCTCTAGCATCATCAGTGTGACAGCAGCGTTTAATAAGAGCTGCTCATGGTTCCAAACACTAGACGGGTTCGGCCTCCTGGCTGTCTAACAAATCTTAGCAGTGAAGAGACGATTAATGGGAGAGGACGGATGAGTAAAACAAGACTGATTTAACACATAACTCCTCTCTTTGTTGTGAAGTGT